AATTCAGGGGAGCTACTCTTATGTGGAACCTATGGAGAAGACAAAATGAAAAAAATAATCCAAGGGGCTGAAATTTTTCACCCTGTACATGTGGACAAAGTGAAAAGGCTTGTGATTGAATGTATCTCTTGCTCGGAGAAAATCTATAGTGTGAAAAGAGCTAAGAAAAGAAGCAGTCCCAAGGCATGGAAAGCATCGCCAGATGGGGTAATTAAGCTAAATTGTGATGCGTCTCTCCGCGAAGAAGGTTGGGTGGGTCTTGGTGTGGTGGACAGGAGCAGTCAGGGGGGAGGTTTTAATCGCAGCTTGTAGACGTTCTCGTGCTTACTAGCCTCCCATAATTGATGAATGCAAGGCTGTGTTGATGGCTATCAGACTAGCAAAGCGTTATGGGCACAAGATATTGTGGTTGAATCGGATTGCCAGGCTTTTATTGGAAGACTTTGCGAAGGCTCCATTTATATCACTGATCTTAATATGCATCATGAGGATGCACTAAAATCTTGTAATTCTTTTAATTCTATCTCTTAGTGTCATGTCAAATGGGAAGTAAATAATGTAGCTTATCTTTTAGCTCGTATAGTGCCTTTTTTTGAACAAGTTTAGGAGAACCATAATCCCCGTGTGGTCTCCTCATATGTATTGATGAACAATTTATTAATTTAAGGCATGACATCTGTTTTTCTCAAAAAAAAAAGAAAGTCTAAGCATTTAGCGAACCAACTCACACAATCGGCTAGTGAAACTAGCTCATGTGAAAAACTAACAAAAATAATGTACCCACCACTATTGTTGATGACAGAGAAAGGTCTGATCGAGCATATCACCCATTCACATAAATGTAAGCTACATTAGGTCATTTGATCAAAGGTTAATAACAATTATAAATAAGACACAATGACATTACCGCCATATGAAAAATAAAAATTAGGTGAATATGGGGCGCGTGTAAGACAAGAAATGATAACCAAAATTGGGGGGTTCTGGGGTATGTAGGGTCAGGGGTGGGGCGGGTGGAGATGGGGCACAACTTATTTAGGGTGGGTCCAACATACCTACCTCACCACCCATGGAAGGTATGATTTTCACTCGATCCTTACTATATTACCTGCTAAATGCAGTATCTTTATTCGACGGGGCTGGGGCATGTTTCTCCTATTTGACTCGCCCCTTTAGCATCTCTTGGTCATCAATCTCCTTATCATAAATAGGTATTAATTAATAAATGCCGATGTGATTGATGTGGTAAGGTGTTTTTAGGAGTGAAACAGAAGACCCGCGAAGCAGGCTTGTGGGTGTCTTTCCACCTAACATTGCTCGACCTTTGCGTGGTGTTAAGTTGCTTGGTGGTCCGGCTAGTTCTAATTCTGGTTTTAGTAGTGAGCTTATAATGCATAGGGTGACCAAGACCATTGCGCTTATGGATAAGGTTGCTATGTTGGATGATCCACAGTGTGAGCTATTGTTACTTAGGGCATGTACCGGAGTTTCTTTACTCTACTTTGCATTGCGTACTTGTCCCCCAAGTACTTTAACTTTGAGGCGGCTCAACGCACTTTCGACGGGGCTCTTCGATCTTATTTGGAGCATATTGTTATTGCTTTAGGACTTGGGTTTAGCGATTGGAAGTGGCGGCTTGCCACCTTACCATTTGCGTTTGGAGGGCTTGGTGTTTATTCTGTAGGTGATGTTTGACATTATGTATTTCTTTCTTCTCGGTTACAGTCTGTTAGGTTACAGACAAAGCTTTTAAGTCTATTTGGAGGGCTAACATTGTTGGTCTTGGTCGAGCTTTTGAAGATGCCTTAAGTCTGTTTAATGGAACAATGGAGTCTAATTTTTCAAGTAATCCTAGTGAGGTCGCTGCCTCGAAACACATGAACAAATTGGCAGATATATATTTCACGAAGGTTACCGCTTCTGCAGAATCCACCTTTTCATTATCTCCTTGACTACCAACATTGTGGAAATCTCAGCAGGAAGATCACACGTCTGCTTGGCTTTGGGCCGTTCCTATTTCAAGGTTGGGTCAGACTTGAACGCAAAGACTTACCGATGTGTGTTATGCTACCGATAGGGTGTTCCATTGTTCTCTGTCTTGACACCGTGCTCTTCTTGTTCAAGGGTTTTTCCAGGGGATATTTTCAGTGATTGTGTCGTGTACTGGTATTGTGGGTATTAAACATCGACATAATGTTGTTCGGGATACCCTAGTTGATGTTTGCTATCGTTCTGGGATTTTAGCAAGGAAAGGGGTTGACATTGGGTTGTCTAGAGGGAACGACGAGGCCCTCAGACCTACAGATGTGTTACTTTATTCCTGGGATCGTGGTCGCTATGTCTGTGTAGATTTGACAGGATCTTCTCCTTTGACACGGTCAGGGCTATCTGACTTTATTCCTTGACAGGTTGTGGTTGATACAGCTCATCGGAAGCGGGTTAAGTATGAGGCTCGTTGTCAGGCGATTGGATATAATTTCATTCCCTTCTCCTTTTCTTCGCTTGGGGAATTAGAGAAGGAAGTTGTGGCGTTGCTTAAGTGAGTTCAGAGGTTCTCGACAACGCAAGACATTGGAGCACGTGGTGCAGCTCATATATTTACTAGGTAGGCTTTGCTATAGCTAGAGGAGTGGGGGCCCAGATTGTATTTCGACTTCCCACTAATTTATTATAGGTTGTATGACTTTTGTTTTTGAGATATAATAATAATAGTAATACTAATAATAATAATAATAATAATAATAATAATAATAATAATAATAATAATAATAATAATAAGAATTAGTGGTGGTTTGTTAGGGATTCAATTTGTTGGAGGTGGCCTGGTAAGGTGGTTGTTTCGGTTCATTGGTGGTCGGCAGGTCGCTGGTGGTGGTGCGAGTTGGTTGGGTAGGTTCATTGGTGTTCGGCTGGTCGATGGTGGTCGTGCGAGTTAAATTAATTGGGGTTTCGGGTTATTGGAGGTGGTAAGGTGGTCAGTTGGTCGCTGGTGGTCGTGCGAGTTGGTTGGGTGGGTTCGTTGGTGGTCGCTGGTGACGTGGGGATTCGATTGGCAGTGGTGCGATTTGGTTCGGTGGGTTTTGGGTGGTTGTGGTGGTGTTTCAGACATTAATGGTGGTGAGAGGGTGGTTACAAGGTGAGTGCTAGTGGTGTTTATTTTCTCTCTCATATAATTAATCACATGTCCTCTTTTTATTAATCTTTGCTTAAGAAATGTTGTGTGCAACCAAGTTTGTTGCAGATTTTATGAAACGGAGGTACTAAAAGAAAAATTCCAATAAATACCAAGCTTTTCACAAAAGCTAATATAATAATATTAACTTTTCACAAAAGTAACTCCAACTACTAATTTCTATCCTCCCCACTTGCCAAACACTAAGGTTTTTTACTAAGTAATAATTTGAATAAGTTAAACCACTAAAAACTAGCTAGAAGCTATTTAGAAATTAGTGCCGAACAAGCCCATAAATTGTTAATTTGATAAGGAGTACTTAAAATCTTAAATATATTGTTCAAAAAATTGTTTACAAGAAGTTATGACAGTATGTTGCTAATGGGAGACTGTGGGAGTATAATTCCAAATTGGATGATCAGCTCGATTCGGTATTCAATTAGGAAGGAAGTGTATTAACAAACCCAGGCCACCATAGTTTAGGAACGATACTTATAATATAATATAGTTTAGAGCATCAGCCAAGATCACAAAATAACCCTTATTAAACTACTAGGATTAATGCCATAGCCCATAAGTTCACATGGGTAGTCAAATATAGTTTAGGATACTCAAATATAGTTTAGGATACTCATAATATAGTTTAGGATCAAATAGTTTAGGTTTTTTTTTTCCTTTTTTTTTAAAAAAAATAAAGAACAAGTTAGTCAAATAGCCTGATTATCGTACTGAAATAAATTACTCCTCAATTTATCAAAATATAACCCTAATCCGACTTAAGATAATTAAGCATAGACATCCCACATTATAGTACATGATTATAGATTTTGGACAAATGTAATTATTATATCCATGGTTACATTTATTCTATGCCCGTCCCATGGTTAGAGTACACTAATAGTCTAATACACATTTCTTTCTTTCTTTTTATCTTTTAGGCACTAAAACACAAAACAAAATTATACTCCTTACTTGGTATCTATGTATGTAATGATGTAACACCCATTATTATTGTACACAAAAAATTGAAGTGGCAAATTTATACTTTATACATTAAAAAGCGTTTCTAAAAAACGTTTATGTGTAACATAAATCTGCATCACATTATCAGTTAACTAATTAACATGTGCCATGTCACTCCTAGCATTGCAACATTTAGTCCAATCCATGTCATTATTAATAAGGAAAAACATCCCACAAAGTTTGAACATTGGATCTCATGATGACAAGATTACACACTTTACCATCTTAGCCAAGGCCAATTTATGTTCTCTCTATACACATAAATACATATTTGTACAAGTAAGCACAAAAAAATAATTATGTAACTTGAAAAAAAAATAAATAAAAAGGAATAATCTCAACAATTCTAAGACAATTAAAATAAAATATCTTCAACAATAGGATTTTGGGTTACATTTTGTTTTAAAGTAATAACCCGTGCAACGCGAGGGGTACACAGTAGTTAGAAATAATTTCACAACTCATTCAAATTATTTTATACACCTGAAATATTTTAATAATTTCATTACTCATTCAAATTATTTTATACATCGTACCTTTTATATTTCTAATTTTTTTTCCATTCTGTAATAAATGGCGTCTTTTATATAGTTCGGCCCACTTTTAATTTATTTTATTTTGTCAAACCTAGTTTGCAATGCTATCTAATCTTACCTAGACTATGGGTTACTGTATTTACACACCGACTGTTAAACTTTATTCACCATTTTCTTACATCCATTCAATTTTTATATATATAAAAAAGTATAGTCGAACTTTGGTAAACAAAGGAAGCATATATAAGCAAAGTATAGTAGGAAGAGTGCGCAACCCTTGATCTGAACCAACGTCTCATTCACCCCATTAATAATACCTCTTTCACAAGTCCTTTTCCCTTTCTCTCTCTTTAATTCCCATTCTTCCTTTCTCTCTCTCTCTCCAATATCACTCCTTTTTATTTTTTCCAGTCACAAGAAAGTTAAAAACTCAGCTGTAATGGAGTCTAAATTTTTTATGTGAATTTCCATTTTTAGCCTTCTCTTTTCAACCAAAACCGTCCATTTTCATACAAAAGGGTATAATAAAAGGGTTAATTTTGTAACAAAAATAATTTTTCTTTTATTTAATTTTTTTTAAAACTTTGTGACAATTAAATAGAAATGTTGAGCAATTAAATGGGTTTCTACTTTTATAAATACCCAACTAGAAGGGCAAACTCACTTCCAATTTGTTTTCTTTCTTTTTTTTCTGTTGTTGCAGAATTTTAGGGAAGAAAAAGAGGGGCAGACAAATTATATTTCCTAATTCTTCATTTTTCTTCCTCAGGTGAGATTAAGCTTAAAATAATAGCTTAGTCAATTCCAAATTTCAATTCTAATTAGTTTTCGCTTCGCCTCTTATGGTATTCTTATCCTCTTTCAATCCCATGAAATTTCGAGCTAGTAAATCAGTTTCGAATACAGTATATTCCGTTGAACTAAGCTGGAAGACTAAATAACTATCTAGAACTCAATGATAAGATTAATATTGTGGATATTATGTTTGGTTTAATGATGTACATGTTATTGATTTTATTTTATTGGTGTTATAAGTTTTTGATTAAGCTAATAGATTAACATATGATTAAATTTTCTTTCAGAAAAACTAGCAAAATCATGGAATTCCCAACACAAGTTATGGAAGAAGGTTCACCCTCAAGCCAAAGAAAGATGGGAAGGGGGAAGATCGAGATCAAGCGGATCGAAAACACGACAAACCGCCAAGTGACCTTCTGCAAGAGAAGGAATGGATTGCTGAAGAAAGCCTATGAATTATCAGTCTTATGTGATGCTGAAGTTGCCCTTATTGTCTTTTCGAGCCGAGGCCGGCTCTATGAGTATGCTAATCATAGGTATATGTTCAACATAATTCCTCCCTTTTTACAAATTCACTAATTTTTTGGACAAATTTTGAAGATGATAAATAAGGGTTATATCTTAGAGAAATTAAAATTGTCTTTCTTTCAGTTTTGTTTTTTTCTCTGTTAAGAGCTTTAAGGGATGCCCTTTTTATTTTTTTAAATAAGGCCTTCTTTTACTTCTTTGATTGACAGAAACATAGATCTGGTTGTAATACAAGGAAATAACAGAAATTTGGCAATTTTTTTTGGCATAAAAAAATCAGACCTAAAATAAATGGGAAACATTATATTGTATACATAAAAATTTAAAAACAGTAAGAAAAATTGGGAAAGTTTTCAGGACTATGAGATCAGCTTTCCATCCTACCCTCTTCTCCATTGTTGCTAACTTTGTATATTCTCTCTCTAAAATCTTCCTTTCTCTCTATGTGAAAGTACAAATATGCCCATGATCTATGATGCTAGAAGAAGAGGGGTAGGCCTACTACACCCATAGTTGTCACATTTCGATTCGTCGAAAAACCCTCTACCCCCATCTCTTGACACCTCCTTAATATCATGTCAGTTTACCCATAAAGCTAAAACAAAAGGACACCCACAAAAGTTTGTGTTCAAGAAACCCCAATTCAAAAAATCAAACTACTACTAGTAGATAAGATTATATAGAGCAGTATGTAACACAACACAACACCACAATGTTTTCGATTTTGTTCATCTAACACGCAGCGTGTGTAACTAAATTAGGGTTCTTTGTATAATCTATCAGAACACTAAATTTCCTTGCCTATAATTAGATATTGATGAAAATATGTTGGTTACACGTGATGTGTATTTGTAAAAGTCAATAAATTAGCCAAAATTAGGGCTTAAAAATGCACCAACTTGACATATTTGAGGGTTTCAATTTATTGCACACAACTCATTTTTTTTTGGCAAAGTGGGTCTAAATTTGTAACAAAACAAAGGCTAGTAGTTAAAAACATAATACAAATCAGAAGAAGTTTGCCAGATTTGGTCCCTTTAATTTTTATATGTATAATTCTTTTTTCATAATTAGGGTTATTATCACTAAGTCCTAAAACTGACCATTTACAAGAGACTTATAGCTTTAACAAGAATGAAATAGAAAATATAATTTTTTTATGCTCAAATTGAGAAAAAGAGGAATCTTTTGTTTTTTTTGTTTATAATTTTTGTTTTTTATTAATATTTTTGGGTAATGTGACAAATATAAAGAGAAAAAGGGTAATGTAATGATATGATTTCCAATACAAAGAGTTACTCTTTTAACTTAAATAGTGAAAGAAATTAAAATAATAATTGGATTAATTTTTATTTTGTACAATACCCTCTTAGATTGTGAAAGGATCTCACTTTCTCTATGAGAATTATTTTTTATTTTTTACAGTTTTCTTTCAACAAAAAAGAACCACCTCACTCTTTGATGATCTCATCACTGTTGAGTCTGAAACAGCAAAAACAACAAAAACATTGCTGTTTTTTTTCAGAGTGTGTTGAACCAATCAAATTGCATCATCCTTTTTTCACAAACTTTCACTTTATTAGGGAAAATTAGGGTGTGTTGAGACTAGATCTTGCTTAGATATTTTTGTACAATACTATGCCTTTCAAAGAAATTTACGTACTCTTACCAAAGCTACCTAAAAAAAGTTTGTGTAGGAAATATAAATCTGATAAATAATTCAATTTATGGTCACTTTTTTGTACTTAAACTTGTATCATCTTCTAATTAAGATGATATTTTGTCATCATTAAACTTACAAATTCTTAAATGGACCCGGTTCACACTAATTTATTGTGTATCACTAACATTAGAGACAATATGATTGTTTTATTAATAAAAAAAGGTCACTATATTAAAATAAAGGTTATAATGTTGAAATAAAAGTTATTGTGACATTATAAAAGTTATAACAACTTAACTTTTTTTAATGAAATTTTTAATATAATGGTCAATATGAATAATAAAGATCATAATGTTAAAATTAGGTTATTATTCAACTTAATTTCGTACTTTAAATTCATAATAATATTAAAGGTCACACATGTTTTAAAAAAGGTTACTATGTTAAAAATAAGGTTATTATAATATAATTAGGGGTCACTATGTTGAATATAATGTCAGTTACGTGTGTATAAACCTTAGGTCCACAATAATATTATTGTGGACCAGGTTCACACAAGATTTGTTGCATTAAACTTAGGTTATTAGCCATATTTCATTATCATCAAAAGTATTTACATCTTATAATTTCCTAATTATTCAAGTAGATCTTTTTACCTACTCTAAAGAATAAGTATGTCTAATTTTTGTTTATTATTATTTTTTTTTTTCAGAATGTAAGTTTTTTTTTCAATTTGGTAACTTAGATCCTTTTATAAAAAAAGTTGTAATTCTAGTTAAAAGACAAGTGAAGTTAAATTATTTTTTTTCCAAAAATGGCATTATGTGGAAATTTTTTGGCAACCACTTTATACTTCTAGCTTTTTCTCACAATCTTTTACAACTACTTTCAAAATTCTAATTCTTGAGTTTTATTTTTTTAAGGATGAAATAAAAAAAGAAATATAAGGTTTTTATTTTTGTTTTTATTTAATTAAAAGAAGAAAGATACGAGTAAGAAAAGAAAGTGTACGGACAAACTTGACTTTGTATAATCCATGCATGGAAGAAGAAAGAGCCCTACACCTACAGCTGCTACTTTTTAGTCAGACTTCAATTTTTTATTTTTTATTTATTGATTGATAGAAATTTGGAAAAGACTAATTTTAGTATTCCATTTTTTAATAATAAAAAAATTCCAAAACCCTTGGATATTAGGGTAATCGGGTGGGTTAATATCCAACGGATAATGGGTTTCTGACACGTGGCTCAGTTCTCAACTCACTAGTCTTATTCTAACCAATCATATCACTGGACCACATGACAACGTGGCAGAACTTAGCCAATCACTTACTCGAGGAAATTAAGGTATCACCAAATTCGAGAGAGTTCAGTCAATTTTTTAATTTAATTTGATGTTATAAAAACATTAAATATGTTAAATTTAGGTCATATCATACTAAATTACATCGCATCAAACAGTAAATATTCTGAACTCTGAAGTTAAGTTTACTGAGGTTTTTCTTACTTTTCATTCAAATTACTGTTTTGTATGGCTTTTCGTGTTGGACTAAGGTACTAGATTGATTTGACTAAAATAATTACTGAAGTAAGTATCTATTTTTAGATGTAATAATCATTTCATGAAATTATTCATATTGTTTGTTCATACTTGTACTCAATGTCGTTTAGTCAGTGGTAGAATTACATTAATATCTGCTCCATAATCGTTGGTTTTGTTTGTGAGATTTTTTCATGCGTTCACTTTACGGTTTATAATTGATTGACTTTTAGTTTGAATTATACGACTAACATGGTTGTTACTCCTTAATTTGCAATATTGATTGCTTTTATTTAATTTTATTGTCACGATATCTTTATTTTTGAGATAAGAGATTTGCAACTTACTTATAGAGGGAAAAATAAATGTAAGCTTTTGATTTTCTTAATTTCATCTTATCTGTTTTGCTGTTTTTGTGCTTTTGCCCTTCTCCACTTTTCTCCTTTTGCTATTTAGCAACAATACATGGAAAAAAATATATTGTACTAGAATAAAGAACTAGAGATTTGGGCAAACAATTTATATTTGTATTTTCAAATTGTGTCAATGCGTACCCAATAACTGAAATGCTTAAGGGCATGTGCTGGAAAAACTCAATATACATAGGAAAAAAACAAAGTAGAATACTAAGTTTTTGGAAATATTCGATTTAAGAGGTTAGAGTTATGGCCAGATATGTTGAAAGGAGAGTGTAGAAGGAAAATGTAATTAAAAGTAGAATAACTAACATTTTATTTGGATAAGAAGGAATGGAGGGAAAGGAAGAGAAGGGAAAGGAAGGGGGATGAAATCCATTGTTTGGATATCAAATTAAGGGGTGAGGGAAATGGAGGGGAGGGAAATGAAAGGAAAAGTTTTGTTTAGTTGTTAAAGTGTAAAATCATTCCAAATTTGAAAAGATTTGGAAGGAAAACAATAACAATAGATTAACATTCAGCTGGAATACTTTATTGAATCTCCTCCTTTATCATTTTCTCTCTCCTCCTCCATACTGTTCTCATGATTTTTCTCCAAATTTCAAGGGTTTTTGACATTCCTAATTCATCTCTTTCAATTTCTTGAATTTTCAAGGTAAAGGCCAAATGATGCAACATGTTATTCTACTCTGCTTCTCACGAATTTTATCCTCCAATTTCTAGGGATTTGCTGCTCTTCTTCATTGTTAATGTTTATTCAATTTTCCATTTTTTTTTTATATTCCTTCAATTTTTGTTTGAAAATCAGTTCTGGAAAATCAGTTTGAAAATCAATTTGATATTTTAGATAATGTACATAAATTTTTTTGGAATAGCATGAGATATTAAATTATCTATTTTTGCTTGATTTTAATGACGTTTATCAATATTTTTTTGAAAATTTTGACAATTACCACATACTATTCTTTCCATTTTAGTAATTACCACCTGCTATTATTTTTTTTGAAAATTACCTTCTACTCTTTTATAAAACATCAAAAATTCCCACCTATTTGCCTCCCAACTACCTTATAACGTCATGTAGGCCCCACTTTTTTTTACCTTCCCTCTTCTTTTCCCTCCCTTTTCTCATTTCTCACTCGAGTTTCATCTCCTTTGACTAATTTTTTTCGCTCAACTTAATTTTTCGCTCAAAAAATAACCACCTAGTTGGGCCCCAATTTATTTTTTCGCTCAAAAAAATGAGTAAGGAGAGATGAAAATTGAGTGAGAAATGAGAAAAGGGAGGGAGAAGAAGAGGAAAGGTAAAAGATGGACATGACATCAAAAGGTAGTTGAGAGGCAAGTAGGTAAATTTTTTTTGATATTTTATAAAAGAGTAGGTGGTAATTTCCAAAAAAAAATAATAGCAGGTGATAATTGCTAAAATGGAAAGAATAGTAGGTGGTAATTGTCAAAATTTCCTATTTTTTTATCAGGTTTAAATTATAATAAAAATAACTGCAATATAATTTTTGTAAAATTTAGTATAATGTTGATTGCAACATGCAAGCAACTCACATATTAAGAACCAATAAAAAAATGGTGAATGCACCTCCCCTTCCTCCATTTTCTCCTTTATCCAAACAAGGAAGGTTCAATTTCTTCTCCCCTCCCCTTCTCTTCCTTCCCCTCCCTACCCCTTCCCTTCTTTTCCTTCCTGATAGTAAGTTCTTGGGAATATTCGGTTTAAGAGGTTGGGAATATTCGGTTTAAGAGGTTAGAGTTATGACTAGATTTGTTGAAAGGAGAGTGTATATTATTTGATTATTTGATCATGGTCAGGAACGTTAATTTACTTATGTCAAAATAACGACTACTTCTAGAATCTAGCCTGTTCGATATGTGTGTTTAATTTCACTGTACACCATCTATGATCTATCAATAAATTAAATACATTGCTTGTGTTATTTGTCTTTCCAAATTAAATACATAATATATAGTGATTTATTGACGACTATCTTAATAAAAGTGTATTACACTCCATAGAAAAAACCTCCCTTGCATATGTAAGTTTTACTTATGTATATATTCTCACTTTTTTTTATAATAGTATTTCAATTTTACTATTTGTAGATGAATTGGCTTATCCGCTGGTTGCTAGTTACGTAATGCAACTAGGATAATATGAAGCCAAAATATAATGGCAAAAAAAATGGTGTTAATGATGAATAATTAATACTCCATATGACAATTTCACAATAAAAAAGATATTATGTCAAACAAGTTTTAGTTTAATGATTAATTGCGCATATTTGTTTTGATTTGAGAACAATTTTGTAATGATTACTCTAATTTTGTAGCCAATATAACCGTTTGATCATAACCATCAATTTTCTATTATTAAATCTATATCATCCATCTATTTATTATATTATAAAAAAAATTTTCACCTTGAAAAATACTTTATTAATCTTTCCTCTTTCACTTTTCCCTTCCCCTTCCCCTTTCTCATAACGACCTGGATAAGTCGCTAAAATTTGGTTGTATTTCATTTTCCGCTTAACTGCCCCAAATAACAATGATCGGATGTTTCCAAATTATAAGTTTTTACAATGTTTATATATATAGTTGTAAACAAAAAAATCATGAAAATAAAGTTATATAATATATACTGGAAGTTTATTTGAAATCGTTATATAAGTTATTTAGATTTTTTTTTTATTTTTTAATTTAATCATTTGTGATGGAGATTAATTGATTGCATGACTGTATGATTAAATTTGTAAATGCTAAATTTTGATCTTTACTTTATCATATTTGAATTGTTTTCAAGGATATAAGGCATAATCGTCTGAAAATTGAGACGGAAGAATTGATATTCAATTTATAATTGTTATTCATTTTTCGTTTGGTCAAATATATAAACGGTTAGAGATTATTATTTCTATGAAATTTAATGATTTAGATAAAAAGTAGTTACAATGGGCTACAATTTTAGTGTAGTTATTGAATAATCTTTCTAGTGGTAATACGAAAGGGTAAATAAAGGCCAGAGAAACATTAAAAAGGGACCTAAAATATAATATTTGACATATTTCACAAAATAACCCCTGGATGACGAGCACCCCAACCACTAACTCAATAGTGGATTCGTAATAGAGAAGGTGGATAATATACAAAAGAAGGATTCGTAGTAGAGAAGGTTGATAATATACAAAAGAAGGTAGATAGGTAGGCTTGTGTATAGGCATGTGTTTGTATGCTTAAATTAAAGGTCCATCTCCCATATTTATATTCGAATATGTTGATTAAAAGAAATGGCTAGAAATTTCTAGAATTTCCTTCAATTTTTCTTGAAATTTCACAACCTATCTCTTTTTGTTGCTTCCAATGTTGAGAATTCTCTAGATCATTTTAGGGCTTACATGATGTAGAATTATCTATAGAATTAAATACTAATTGTGCTACCAGTATAAAAAACTTCCCGAACACGGGCCTATAAAATTTATGCCACACCCAAACCCAACAATATCATTTCTAAATGTATGTGTGCATGAGATAGGGTCATCATTATTTTTGAAATATAATATTGTAGCTGGGTATATTGGTTATCATTGTTTATCAAATTGTTCAATTAAAAACAAGTATAAAAAAATTAGGGAACGGAAGGTCATGGAACTAATTGATATTCTTTAGCTGCAGTGTCAAGGGCACAATTGACAGGTACAAGAAGGCGTGCTCTGATCAGACTGGTGCTGGATCAGTTGCTGAAGCCAATGCTCAGGTATAATGCAACTAACTAACCTCACTTGATTGCTCGCATTTCTTTGTTTTGGTAGGAAGAACATTTATATAAGTTTCTTACAAAGTGGTGAAATCATAGTTACCTAATTCCCTAAACCTAGAAATGTGATTTAGGTTAAAGAGTATTGTGTAATATAATTTTGAATGTAAATTGCAGTACTATCAGCAAGAGGCTGCCAAGCTGCGAGGCCAAATCAAAACTGCAACAGAGAACAACAGGTAAATTTTACTGTGTAAACCTTGATTAACAAAATAATACGAAGTATTATATTTAGAGCAAACATTACTGAAATAGAACTATAGGCTTCTTTCCAGGCATATGATGGGTGAAGGGCTGAGCAGCCTAAGTATGAAGGAGCTGAAGAACCTCGAGACTAAACTTGAGAAAGGAATTAATAGAATTCGGTCCAAAAAGGTAAATAGAGAAGAAAGCTATATGAAGTTGGCTTGTTAATACAGTTCTTTTGACATCCTCTTGTAATTCACTTTTCCTTAATTTTTGTGTTTTCCAGAATGAACTACTCTTCGCTGAGATAGAGTTTATGCAGAAAAGGGTAAGTGAATCTGTCCCTATACTAAAATGATCCAGAATAAAACATAATGTCTATTCATCTGAGTTGCTAATTACACCAATATGATTTGCACAATAGTACTAAGAACTTTGTAACCACAACAGCCTCATCTATCAAAATAAGTAATCCATAAATGTTTAGACAATAGCAATCGCGATACATAAATAAGCATTGATGAATATTATGTGACTGAAGAGAAACCGTTACACATTTTCCATGGAAAGTTTTGATCAATGCGTAGGTGTCTTCTTGTCTTCAATGGAGTGATATTGTAGAATTTATTTTTCAAGCTATATAAGTGGATAAGTTTAATCTTTACAGTGAGTTAATTGTTTTTTCAGTTTAGGTGCAATGTATAATTACAAACAGGTCGTCTTAAAAGAGTCTGTTTAGATGTTCTAATAGTCACCAAAGTTACTCCTGTCTCGTGTACTCATCTGATTTAACCCTTTTGCCTTTATTAATACTATCTTCGTTTTTTTTTTATTTGACACCTCTCTCTTTTTATGCTTTCCAATGCACTATTTTAACGCTTAATATCTCTAAATATCGACATTGTAAAATTATAAGAAGTGAATTTTAATAAAATATACATTGAGACGATTCTTACAAGATTGTACTTATGTTTTATCATGACTATAAATCACAAAAGCTAATCAAAGTGTAGTTAGTGAATAGTGTATAAAAATGGTGTCAAGCTGTCAACTAAAAAAATGGAGTTAGTAGTTTCTTAGGTTTCAACTACACAAGCCTTAAACAATGCCGCCACCATATTGAAAGATCTGATCTATTTGAATCATGGAACTAGCCTCAATGACAATATCTAGTTTCTGTTTCAATTTGATGCGGTCTATGTCAACCTATTTACACTTATGTAAGAAATTAATTAGGAAGAATTAAGTTTGAGTTTGACTCAACACCCATTACTTTGTTAATCTTTTTTAAGCTTAAAGCACTTTAGCCTCTTGAATTAGGATTCTTAACTGTGATTAGTGAATTAATAAAACAAAATAGACATTGAACCTACTGATTGTATAAGATACTACAACACTATCTTTTTTTTTTTTTTTTTTTTTTTTTTTTTGACGGGTATTACAACACTATCTAGGAAAATGTTAATAAGAGATTATGAGGTGGTGGAATTTGACATGAAATACTACCCCTTATTTATCTCTAAAATAGGTAGTAACATTTATCAGACACTTGAAAGCATGTAATTTGCTCTAATTTAATCACATAAAGATTATTTTCAGATCTATATTTAAGTACGAAAAATAATGAAAATTAATTGAGAAAAACATTGTTTTTAGCTTATATTTTGGTCAATATACTGTTACTTTGTATGTTAAAAGACACGATTTACTGATTTACTGTGAAGAAAGGAAGAAGCCATCATCAGACTTCCACAATTTTCTTTTACTAGTACTCTATAGATCAATAAATGTTTTCATTTCGAACAATATTTTAGCAATTGTACAAATTATACAAGACTTATTGACAAAATTGTTGCTCCTGCAGGAGATTGAACTGCATAACAATAACCAGTTTCTCCGAGCAAGGGTATATGCTTCCTTCCTCTCTTTTCCTTTATTTTCAACACAACGAAAGCAGGTACGAATTTATGAACACATGAAATTGAATTATATTGCAGATATCTGAAAATGAAAGAGCTCAGCAAAGCATGAGTTTGATGCCGGGGGGCAGTGACTATGATCTTGTCCCTTCGCAGTCGTTTGATTCCCGGAATTACTTCCAAGTAAATGCCCTCCAACCCAATAGTCAGTATGCCCGCCAAGACCAGACCCCGCTCCAGTTAGTGTAACTATGCAACTTAATGCAGATTGAACTGGCCGGAGCTGAAAGTGACCAAGTGAATTCGCTAATGAATGGGATCTAGTCCTGAATTCTAGCGTTTCGAGTCTATAAGGAAGTATGTAGTATTGTAGTGTATGTTTGGTGTGCAGTGTGATTTGCATAACGTTTGATGCAACCTAAACTTATAACTTAATTATCTCATCCTGTGTGATGGAGTATTTGACCTTAATTTTCGATATATTGTGCTGTTGTTACATTTTAGCTACTGTATGGTGACTATTGTCTGTATTCATTTTGACTATTTCAATTTAGGGCCACCATGGACGAACAGAAGGAAGCCTTCGTTCGCTACACGAGATCCCCTCACTTCCTTTTGCAAGAAGTTTGCCATCATGTTATAGTTTCTTCCTCCATAATGATTCGTAAACAACCAAGTACATTGCTGTCATTACTCATTAAAGGTCTTCACACTGTACCAATTGCTTCGCCTTCTATCAATTCTATGTTATTGAGACTCGGGTACTGGTTTTGTATGAAAGTACATATCTAAGTGTTCGACTCTCAAAAGTTTAAAAATTAAGACATGTAGACAGTACCCTTTATTTATTTATTTTATTTTTTGTTTTTTTGGAGGACAGAGACAGTACCCTAACTTGGGACAAAGGGATGTTGAAACTGGTAGACATTTAGATATACAAATAAACATGACAGAGATTGATTGAATAGGACTATGGGAGGTTGTCCGACCATAAAAAGGGTGATGGAGGGTATGAAAGTTACAATCTCCTTCTAGCCATCGGATTCCAAATAACCATTAATTGATTGATTAAGGAGAAATGAATCCCCTTTAACTAGTTTTGGGGTCAGACGATGCCCCACTTATGATTGAACTTTGGGATAAATTCATTGGTTTGAATGCCAATATTTGACTAATTTTTCTCCAAACTTTTTCAACTCAGATCAACTCAGTTTTTGTAGTCCCAAGTTATATTTAGGATGTTTTCTATGATTCAGATTGAGAGTTGTTATTAGCTTTTACAATTAACACATATGTATATATAGATATAGTCTCTTTTAACCAAGACTTAACTTGCCAAAACTCCTAACCTTATATAAATATATCATAACATGTAAACGACGAATACCCATCATGTTAAGTTACAAATAAAATTGATGCTTCCCAAGTGCCTTTGTTAAAAATTTGCTGATTAATGGAATGTAGGAACATATGCAGTAGCTAATTAAATTACTAGACACTAACTCATCACGAATAAAATGGCAATCTGTCATTACAATACATTTTTATTTTAATCATAAAATAAGTTGATTGACCATCACAAAATAATTTCATAGGTGAATTGGGATGCAAAATATCAAAAGATGACAACAAAACTTCAACCAATTTATCTCACAAGTTGTAACGGACATAGGCACATAGCAGTATAGCACAATACTCTGCCTCAGCAAACAAACGAATATACATTGTGGGCTTTTTAATTTCTTGGTCTTCCATGAGACACATTTTATTAATGGCAATGCCAAGAGAGTACAACAAAGAATTCAACAGATTTAACTCGGAGTTATATTTATAATTAATGCATTTCATTGAGGAAGACCTCTTAGTGCAATGGTACATGGATTGCCTCGCATCCTCAAGGTGTGAGGTTCGAGCTTGACCATTGGCAGATTCAAGATTTTCATCCGACAACAAGGCTTAGAAATGAGTAATTGATAACTTTTTTTATTAGGGAGTTTCTTTTAACTTTTTTTATTAGGTAGTTTCTTATAACTTTTTTTATTAGGTAGTTTCTCGCAAAAAAAGTGTTTTATAAGTGTAGGGAATAATTTTATAAGTGTAGGGAATAATTTCAAGCCTTTAAAAATCCCACTAGCTTGAACCCCACTGTGATCATACACTAAAGTACGTTGGCGTCCAAAAGGGAAGAAAATAGAGCAAAAGAGTCGCCAACAAGTTTTTAAGGAACTTGTAAACCGTTCACGAGGTGAAGGTTACACCCCTTAATTAACGATCCAAGAGATCGTCAACTCCATAAGGTCATGAACCAAATAAGGGTTCGGGGATGAAGGTACAAATCCAATCTAAAAGAGATTGAACCTGCCCTAATAATAGGTCTCTACTTTATTCTGCTCGTATTCATGTGCGCTTTCTGACTAACATACCATCAATAGGATTAACCCTAAACCTGTTTAATCTATGTTGGTTGAATTTAATGCACAAATAAACTATTATTGGCGATCACTTGAATTATAATCATAATTAACCTAACAAGATTATTAATTATCTTATTAAGCGTGATTGCAAATACCAATTCCATTTAACATGCAATAAAGGGTGATCAAGCAATAAAGAATAAAATAATATGCACATCAAGCAACATAATAAATAATCAACATCATTAATAATAATAATAATCAATCATAATAATAATCATCATAATCATGTTAAAGCATAGCAAGATTCTAGGCATGATACTAACAAGATTAATAACAAACTCTAGCATGTCACTAAGCAATACAAATCAAAGTTTTAACCCTAACATGATACTAACATGAATTAATATTAGGAAGAATATAGAAAGCATCGCAGGAATCATATTTAATATTAAATTTACCCTAGACATGATACTAGGAATATCATAATAATCTAAGCATGATTTCTACATCATAATATCAATTAAACCATTAAAGTACTTACTTGGATGCCTCGTACCTCTTTCTAATAACAAAATACACACGTTAGTAACTTCAAGGAAAATAATAATCAAAACAATTAAATTAAATAATCGAAAGAGAGATTTGGGACCAAACCCTCAGAAATTAAAACCTTTCACGTCTAGGGCGAAGGCAACTTCGAATATGGCTAGCTGTTTCTAGATCTTGTGAATGCGGAATTTTGTATTAAAAAGCAAAGGTTAGAAAGAATACTAAAGAATTATTGAAAATTGATGAAAGAAAGAATGATGAATGAATGAAGAATGAATTAAAAGAATTTGATGAACGATTGATGCTTGTTGATGAATGATGAAGATAGTTGGTGAATGAAGAGAGTTGATGAAAAATCAGGAAAATTGGTGAATGATGATTGTAGATGATGAAAACGAAGTTTTTAATACGATATTTATAGAGAAAATCAGCCAAAAGAGATAATTTAACAAAACAGAGTCTGAAGATCGCAAAACAACCTTGGCGCCAGGACCAGTGGCTAGCGCCAGGCGCTAATGGCTAGCGTCTGGCGCCAAGCCTGGTTCCAGGCGCCAAGGCCTGGGGTTGGACGCCAAAGTGGTTTTCAACGCGTTTTCGAAAATCTGATAAATTTCCTGTACTGGAAGATAAAATAATATAATTCCATCGAAAATGTTATTTGATCTTGATTAAAACTCTGAAGAGTCCTAATTGAATTAGGAATGATAAGACCTTCTAGAATATTCTAGAAGAATAAAACCATTCCTAATTGCATTAGGAATGATAAATCATATTAGGCCCTCCCCTAGATCATTGGGCCGTACATAAAGCTCAAACCGGACCCAGTTTAGTAAATTGGTCATAATTTCCTCAATATTAATCGGAATTGGGCTTATAATATATCGTTGGAAAGTTCTTTGCAAGACCCATCCAACTACACCACTATTGGACCCATATCATGGACCAACCAAACTGGATTGGCTGTCTTTTTAAAATAAAGTTTTCCAAAACAGGGAGAAGAGAAAAGAAATAAAACTTTCCGCAACACTAGACCTTTCCACACTTCGTTTCATTCGATTATGATTTGACGTGAAAGGCACTCATCACCGGGTTTGGTTTTGGGGAGACACAAATGGGTGTCTACAATAAGGTATTTTTCACAATATATCCTACTTTATTTTAATTGATAACTAGTGTGTGGCCCGAGCGATGCCCCGGATTGCTAGTTTGTACTTGTTTAATTTATTAATCAAATTCGATTGTTTGGATAGTAAGGGTATGTTCTCATTTACTGAACAGAGCTGAACTAAACTGATTGGAGCTGAACCGAACTAAACTGAGATGTAATGAATATTTTATGAGAAAAGGAAATTAGGAGCTGAACTGAACTAAACTGATTGGAGCTGAACTAAACTGAACTAATTGGAGCTGAATTAACTGAGCTGAAATGAATAATTTATGAGAGAAGGAAATTAGGAGCTGAACTGAACCTAAACTGATTGGAGCTGAACTGAACTGATTGGAGCTGAACTGAACTAAACTAAAATTAAGCTGAAGTGAACAGGCCCTAAGACTTATTGGTTTCGAGTTTAAGTCTTGCTATATGCATTTTTTAGTTGTTAAACTCAATCATTACATAATGGAAACAATATAGTATAATAATACACAAATTAACTTATCTAAGTTAACTATGATATTATTGGATAAAAAAAACACAATTAAAAAATGGCTAAGATGGTAAGATTCTTAACTTAAGACTTGTTGGTATTGAGTTCAAGTCTTGATATAAGCATTTTTTAGATGCAAACCTAATACATGTGAAAGTGACATGTCATGTTTATAATGACATGAGGCACATATTGCTGACATGTCGAACTTGAAAAAGGTGACCTGTGGAACATATTCAGTTTTAGAAACGCTTTTTAATATATGGGTATAGATATAGACTATAGATGAGATTAACTAAATCAATTGTACCAATAAAAGGTTGTTTAATATCATCATCACACTTTTTAATAGTATAAACTAGTGTTTGGTCCGGGCGTTGCTCTGGGTATTACTTTGAGTATTTTTATCATTATTATAATCAAAGAGCTTGAAAGAATTTTTTATTGTAAAAAATTATAATTTTACAATAACAATAATAAACAGTTTTGAATAATTTTGCTTTTATTTCTAATATGTATTTATATATTTATGTGCATAGATATAACAAAATTAGCTTATAGCTTGGATGGTAATAAGTTGGTCTTCATTAATGAGGTCTTGTGTTCAATCCTTATTGGATGCGTTTTTGGCTAACCATGACATGAAACAAAAATGTGCTAGAAGTACACATGGCATATTGAATGATGACGTGGTATTATGTTGGTGCAAGAATGAGATACACGTGACACATTGACATTTTTACACTACTACAAATCCCGCATATTTTCGACGCTTTTGCTTCGACGCTTTGCATGTTGCGTCAGCTTATAATTTTTAGTTCCGTTTTTTCTCGACGCTTTTACGTGTCGAAGTTTTTATCGACTTTCGTGTCATCCACGTGACTCCCTCACACCCTACTGCCGGCAATTTTAAAATTTAATGAAAAAAAAAGCGGATACTCCCAATTCAATTAAACCGCCCACGCGAATAACTTGTTTGCTCTCTACTGCACTCTA